TGATTAGGTTGATAAGCTAGTTTTGAGACATTTTATAATTCGGTTTTATTGAAATTGTGCTGAAGAATTGAGACTTTTTTCCTAGGTCTTAGTTACTGTCTCTGAAAAATAGCTGGACCATAGGTCACCACAGCAACTGGACTATGTATTATAAACACGTTTAGCATGGAAGAGGTTCGTTTAATGGCGTCTTCCTTTCTCTCGCAAGTTACAACATGGCTCCCTCCTCCTTTTGGGGGGTGGAATGGGGTTGGAGGGCCTGGGCGTTGACTCTTGGAGAATGTAGACTAGCGCTCTACCACTGAGCTTCTCTCCTAGCCTTCTCCATTTAGCGCAGGAATTGAGTTTTCTTTGAAGTGCTGAAATAGAATGGACTGTGTTTTTCAAATTTAACCCTTCAAAAATCAGATTACTTCGCTTAGGTCAGTTAAGTATTTTCCTCCATTATATTTTTAAAAACTTGTAAAACTAATTTTAGTAAACTTGGGATTTTGTGAGAGGGAAAATCAAGTGTTTTCTGGTACAGTATATGTGTTGGCTTATATGTAACAAGAATAAAAAGTCTATTTTTAACTCTGTTTCACATTTGGAATTTTTAATGTCTCCTGGGTTTTTTTCCCTTTAGTTCTCTTTTGTGGCCCAGGAAATCGTTGAAGTTTATTACTATTGAAGAGTTTCAACTTAACTGCATACTCAGGAGGTCATCAACTTTTCTGTTGAGAGAAAACCTGATATAAAAATTGAATTGGAAACTAGTACACTCCTCTAATCCCAGCACTGGGGGAGGCTGAGGCAGGAAGGTTGCTGTGAGTTTGAGGCCAGCCTGAACTACACAGTAAGACCCATTCTCAAAAAACAAACAAAAAAATGGGTCTGGGGTTTTAGCTCAGTGGTTCCACCGCCTGCCTTGCAAGTGTGAGGTCCCGAGTTTGATCCCCGGTACACGCACAAAAAAAGTAAAATGGGCTAAGAACATAACTGTGCAGTATAGTACATTTTAGAGTTTTTGGGTTTTTTTTCCCTGCTATCAGGAATCGAACTCAGGACCTTGCACTTGGGAGGCAGAAGCAATGCCACTGAGCTAAATCCCTAACCCATAGAGTGCATTTTAGCATGTGAAGCTCTGGGTTTGATCCCTAGTACCACAAAAAATAAAAACAGTGGGCTGTTCTTTTAAAGTGTCCACTGAAGAATTCTATTTTTGCCTCTGTTACTTTTTCTCAAAAGAAAATTCATTTGCAGTACTGTAGTTTTTCCTCACAGCATCTTCCCCTGCTAAATGCACTGTTCTGTCCCAGAGGCATTGCCGTTTCCCCACCACTGTCAGGGTTGTCCTGATGTACCCGGCGGGTCACCTGCCTGGACTGCATGCTGCTGCACCGCCCCCGGGGTGCCCGCGGTTTGGGAACCTCTTCTTAGGGTGGCATATGTGTGATCTCTGGAGACGTTAGCATTTTCTGCCTTGTCTTTTCAGTTCTGCAGCTTAGCTGTTGTTACAAAGCTGTAGGACTCAAACATGCTCTACAGGAAAGGTGCTAAGATTCCACGATTTGGGTTTCCAAAGTTTCCCAACTACAAATGGAACTGTAATCGCCATGTTTGCAGTAGCCTAGGGATTTCGAGTGTGTCTCTCCTCCATCACCCTTCGCACACGTTCCTCCCCTGCCCCACAAGCGTTTCTGATTGTTGAAAGTATGGATATTGAACTCTTTGACTAAGGCCGTGTTTACCAAGGAGTAGTTTTAAGGGGCTTAGATTAGCAAGTAATTGTTTAAATGGGAAAATTATACAGTAAAAAAGCAATTTGCCATAAATAGATTTCATCAGAGAAAAGGTCTGGTAAACTCAGGAAAATGACTGGAAACTTCCCCACGTTTATTGGTGCCAAAATAACCACTACTTTAACCCCATTAAGAGACTGTGGGATACTGATTTCTAGTGGGCATAGTTATTTAGCATTAAGTAGCTCTTTATTTGTGTATTATCATTTAGCATCTAAAATAATACTTTGACACCGAGAGGCGTGCTTCTGTCCTACGAAAGAGGTTTCCCTGGTGAATGGAGCACAGGGCTGATGCAGATGCAGCTTCTCCCAGAACTCCGACTGTGAGAGGCAGCTCCACTTTCTAGTCTTCCTGTTTTCCCTTCTCTGCTTTGGGTGGCAGCATCTCTTGTGATTGGCTTCAAAGTGATAACTAAAGATTACTGGAAAATTTCACAAAAGCTACAGAAACCTTGCTGTTTTCCACTAGACTTCCTTATCTCCGCCCCTTTTTGGAGCAGACATAGTTGATCCTTAAGAATCCTATCCTTAGCCAGGCGTGGTGGCGCACACCTGTAATCCCAGCACTCGGGAGGCTGAGGCAAGAGAATTGCTTCAAGTTCGAGACCAGCCTGGGCTACATAGTGAGTTCCAGGTCAGTCTCAACTACATACTGAGACTCTGTATCAAAACAAACAAACAAACAAAAATAACAACAACAATAAAATCTGGCAGACTCTGCCTACTTTCATAATTCACACTGTAACATCAGAACAAAGGGTAGTACCAGCTCTATAAACTATATCCAAAAAAAAAAAAAGAATCCTATCCTTTATGAGTTACATCATTAGTCTTCTCAGGGCTAACATTTGTATTGTTTTTGTGTTAATTTTGTTTTAAACATCTTCATTGAGATATAACTTAGACACCGTGAAATTCACATACAGAGTATATAGTTAAGTGATTTTAGTCTCTTCTCATGGTTGTACAGCTACCACCGTATGACCTAATTTTAGAATATTTTCAGCTGTCCAAAAAGAAACCGTACTCATTAACTGTCACTCCCCTTTGCCCTCCTACTTCCTCCTCCACCTTGTCCCTTAGCAGTACTGATCTGCTTTGTAGACCAGCCTGGTCCAGACACTTGGTATAAATGGGGTCATGCACTGTACAGTCTTTTGTGGCTGGCTTCTTTTATGTAAAATCCAAGGTCCACTCATGTATCAGGACTCCATTCCTTTTTATGACTGACTGACAGAATGACACCACATTTATTTACAAAGATCTGAGTTTTTTCCACTTGTTAGATATGATGAATAATTCTGTTGTGCACATTCCTGTATAAGTTTTTGCATGAACATTTATTTTGTTTCTCCTGGGTATATACCTAGGAGTGGAGCTGCTGGTTCATACGGTAACTATCTGCTGTGGCTGGCGTGTGTGAGGGCTTCAGCTTCTCCACATCTTTGCCAGCACTTGTCTCTCTTTTATTATTACCATCTAGAAGGTATAGGTGGGTTCTTGGGTGGTTTAAATTTTCGTTTCCCTAAGGACTAATGACATTGAGCATCTTTTCATAAACTTACGGGCTTTTACATATCTTTGGAGAAATATCTTTTCAATTCCTTTGCCATTAACTTTTTTTTTTTTTCCAAGTTGTAAGAGTTCTTTGTGTATTTCAGGTGCAAGTTCCTTTTGAGATGCATGACTTGAAAGTACTTTCTCCCATTTTGGGGACTGTCTTCTCACTTGGTGTGTTGTTTACAGCACAAGTTACCTGTTTTTGGAGCTCCCTCCATTCAACCCAGGGCCTTGTGCGCACTAGACAAGCACTCTGCTGCTGAGCTACACCCCAGCCCTGTAATGTTTTCATGGAATTGACTTAATTTTCTTTCTTTTCAACTCTGTTGTGATCCACTGAGATCTCATTCTTAGAAAAAGAAAGGTTTTTGTTTTCTTTTTATGTATGAAGATATTTAGTGTAGGTTTCTTAGGATGAGCTTATATTTATTTGGCCAAAACTTCTGCCCGCAGAATTCTTTCTAGTAGATCAAGTATTTTGGAATTCTACAAGGAAAATACTGTTGTGCGTGAGAACATTTCCTTGCTGCTCCGTTGCCAAAGGGAGAGGTTATCAACCCAGGTGATTTTTGACCCCCAGGGGAACAGCTGGCAGAGACTGGAGTCATTTTTAATTCTCATTTGGGCAGGGAGTGTTGCTGGCGTCCAGTGGGTAGAGACAGGTGTGAACAAATTACAGTGCACAGGACCATGTCTAAAACAAAGAGCTGTCTGGGCCAGGTAAAAGATTTAGCTCAGTGATTCCACCACCTGCCTAGTAAGTACAATGTCCTGAGTTCAATACCTGGTACCAAAAAATAACAACAACAACAAAAAAAAACCACCCAAAAACCTAAGAGCTGTCTGACCTTACAATCAGTAATACTGAAATTCAGAAACTAGCCCAGAAGGGGAGATCTGGGAACTTTAGGAATTGAAGGATTTTTCAGTTCCTGTCTTGCTAATCAAATAAAAGGAGAATCTAAGGCAGATAGAATCCCTGTGGACAGAATTGTAGCAGAACTTGTAAATTAAGTCAGGGAACATTTTGTTGAGTTCTCAGAGCTGCCAGTTTGTATGTAAATTACACTTATGGTGATGTATACCATTTGGAAGAGAAATACCAGTTGGAAAAAGTAGTTTTGATTATTCCCAACACCTGAGCCTTTAGGCCACCCTGAGACACATATTGGTAAATAAACTGGGCTGATTTAGGAAGATACACACTGGAGTGGTGGTGTTCCAGGAGAATACGACAATGAGATTTTAAGGTAAAATTTAATAATATTCTAATGGTTTGTACTCAGTGTGCGCCTGTAGTTTATGGAACTGGCTTTATCTTCCTTGTTGCCTAAGATCTAGAAAGCAGTGTGGCATGCTTAAGATCTTGGACTCTGGACCCAGATTGCCTGAATTTAAATCTCAGCTTCACCATTGACTTGTGTGACCTTGGACGAGTTTCTTACCATATCTGGTAAGAATGGTACTATTTACCATTCAGTTTTTTTCACATGTAAAATGAGTTGCAAAAGTATCTGTCTCAGAGGGTAGTAGTGTTGTGAGTAAGGAGCAATTCAGTACACTTAGGGCATGTAAGACAGTGCCTGGCATAGTGTTAAATTCATTAATAATGGCTATCTGGGCCAGGAATGTAGCTCAGTGGTGCTGTTGCCTGCCTCGAAAGCACAAGATCCCGAGTTTGATCCCCAGTACCCCCCCCCAATAATAATCTCATGTTTATGTTTTTCCAGCCCACTGCTATGGACAGTGCCATCACCCTGTGGCAGTTCCTCCTTCAGCTCCTGCAGGAGCCTCAGAATGAGCACATGATCTGCTGGACCTCTAACAATGGGGAGTTCAAGCTTCTGCAGGCAGAAGAGGTGGCTCGTCTTTGGGGGATTCGCAAGAACAAGCCCAACATGAATTATGACAAACTCAGCCGAGCCCTCAGATACTACTATGTAAAGGTAATACACATCCTGATCTCGGCGTTACACAGAGAGCCTCAGGATGAGCATTAATCCTTGTGTCCCATTGCAGTTATAGGTTCTAATATCCTGGTTTATTATAATCTAGTTTATTTTATAGCTTCAGTAGTTTAGAATTAGTACATAAGATGTAAACTTCCAGTTGTGTTTCTGTAAATGCTTACTAGGTAACCTACTCTCATCACACATTTTAGTTCTCACTGCTGCTGTCTTTACAAGAAAAAGTACAGGATTTGTATAAAAATAGGAATCATGAGATTCTTAAAAATAAATAGTCTCACGTATGTCATAACGTACTTTGTTGTTTTGTTTTGCCTTTTTGTTTTTTGAGACAGGGTGTCACTATGTAGTTCAGCAGACCTGGGATTCATATGTAGCCCAGGCCAGCTTTGACCTCACAGTGATTCTCCTGTCTCAGCCTTTTTAGTGAAGGAATTACAGGCCTGTGCCTCCACACCCAGATAATATGGTATTATTTTTACTTATTTACTTATTTTGGTACAGGGGATCGAACTCAGGCCCTTGCGCTTGCGAGAAAGGAAGCAGAACTACTGAGCTAAAACCCCAGCCCTATGCTATTATTTTGAATACATTGTTGGGCATCAAGGAAAAATAAATGCTCCAAAGGTTGGATAGGAAGCTGAGGAGGTCTTTCTTTTGCCCTTAGGTAACTGATCTTATAAGCTTTCCTGTGTGGAGATGAGATAAAAGTCAAGCTGGGAAGCAAAATAATAGATAGATATGGGCTGGGGATGTAGCTCAGTGGCCCTGCACCTGCCTGTCAAGCACAAAATCCTGAGTTTGGTCCCTGGTACCAAAAAAAAAAAGGATAGATAATAGGAAGTAGGGAGAATCTCCCTTCCTCAAAGAGGAAGAGAGGATCACGAGGTAGAGGGTAAGGGTAAGGGATGAAGAAGACGAATTGGGATGTTATGTACATGTACCGACTTCCCACAAAGAATGTAAACATTCTGTACTGCACACATATACTGATAAAATGAAAGAAGAAAACAAACAAGCAAAAAAAAAACCCCTTTTTTTACTTGCCCAGGAGTTTGAAGATTGGCTGGGCAACATAGCAGAAGTCCCTGTCTCAAATGAATGGATGGATAGATGGATGGAAGGGTCAGTAAAGAGCTGAATCAACAACAACAAAAAATCAAGCTGAGTGTGATGGCACATGGGCAGTGATCCCAGCGTTCTAGGAGGCTGAGTCAGGAGGATAGGAAGTTTGAGCCCAGCCTTCCCAGCTAATCAACTTAGTGAGGCCCTGTCTCAAAATAAAATAGAAAAAAGGATCTGGAGATGTAGCTCGATACTCAGGTCCTGCAGTCTATCTACAGTACCATAAAAGAGAGAGAGAGAGAGAGAGAGAGAGGCCTTACAATTGTAATGTTCTGAATTCCTTTTTGCTTGTGTCTTGTGCAGGTAGATTCCCTATGATGAATGTTATCATTATGTATATCTAGAATGTACCACTAAATGTTTGCTAAAAAAAAAAAGCCAAACAAAAAATTCCTTTTTCCTTACTTGGGATGCTTATGGCTTCTCCTTGTAGCATTACTTAAGATTGACGTTCAGTGAGTTCTGACTTAATATAGACACTTGGTTGACAGAGTCCAGCAGTTAAAATTCTGAGCTTGTTTGTTTGTTTTAAATGTAGTCCCGGGATAGAATGTAGGGCATGGCGAATGCTTGGGAAGAGCTCTCACACTGAGCTGTATCACCACCCTCAAACTTAGTTTTTGTGTCGCAGACTAGTACAGCTGCTAATTTGAATTTTCTTGTTTTAACTCTTCCGTGATAGGGGCTCTTTGGCTTGATGAATGTAGGTGACTTTGAAGTTTTTACGTAAGCTATGCCCACTTCTCAAATAGAAAGCCTCATTATATAGGCTTTTTTATGAACTGTGGGCTGTAAGTTGACAAAAAAGTATTTGAATGTTTATTTTCTTTACCCATAGAATATCATCAAAAAAGTAAATGGTCAGAAGTTTGTGTACAAGTTTGTATCTTATCCAAAGATTTTGAAAATGGATCCAATCACAGTGGGCAAGATTGAGGGAGACGGTGAAACTCTGAATTGCAGTGACATCAGCAGCACTTCTAAAGACGTGGAGAGTGGGGGGAAGGAGAAACAGCCCGGGGCCAGGACCTCCAGCCGCAATGACTACATCCACTCTGGCTTGTATTCCTCATTTACTCTCAATTCTTTGAACACCTCCAGTAAAAAGCTTTTCAAGTCAATAAAGATGGAGAATCCTGCTGAGAAACTGGCAGAGAAAAAATCTCAGGAACCAACACCATCTGTCATCAAATTTGTAACACCTTCCAAGAAACCACCCACTGAACCTATCGCTGCCACCATTTCAACTGACCCAACTATTTCTTCATCTTCCAAAGAAACTATCCAAGCATTAGAGACACTGGTTTCCCCAAAGCTGCCCTCCCTGGAGGCCCCAGCCTCCGTGTCCAGCATGGCTGCCAGTTTTACCCCCACTCCTCCCATTCCTGCCGCGCCCCCTCCCTTGAAGGAGCCTCCCAGGACACCCTCTCCTCCGCCGAGTTCCAACCCAGACATCGACACAGACGTTGACTCGGTGGCTTCCCAGCCAATGGAGCTTCCAGAGAACTTGTCTCTGGAGCCTAAAGATGAGGGTTCATCTTTGCCAGAAAAAGACAAAACAAATAGTTCATCAAGGTCCAAGAAACCCAAAGGGTTAGAACTGGCACCTACCCTTGTGATCACAGGCAGTGACCCAAGCCCGCTGGGAATACTGAGCCCATCTCTTCCTACAGCTTCTCTTACACCAGCGCTGTTTTCACAGGTAGCTCGGGGGTGCGTTGTAGTCCTCTGCATTCATTCATCTTTTAAAGCAGATCTAGACTGTATACTTGGACGTTTTTTGTTATGTAGGTTTGTCTTAGAAAGGTTAAATGTAACCCTGTGAAAGTAACGTAATTCCTCACTTCAGTTAGGATTGCCAAAATAAAAGGTTTAGAGTATTGTCTTTAAAAATTCATTGTTGGGCTGGGGATTTAGCTCAGTGGTGTGACTGCCTGCCTCGAAAACACAAGGTCCTAAGTTCGATGCCCAGTACCCAAAGAAAAAAAAAAATTCGTTGTTCTACAAGTAAATAAATATTTTGATTTTTCTACTTTCTTCTAAAGAAGTGCCCCCCAGCAGTGATGTTAGAAAGTGGTAGCTCCCCAGAACCTTGATGTTGAATAGCAGGTTCGGTTAGTTACAGTGGGTATTCACGAACTTGCCCATCTTGTAGAACATTTTCATAGCTCACTCCAGACGGGCTCATTATTGAGATAGACTCAGCTTCCCATTGCTCCTCTGGGCCTGAATGCAGGTTGGTTTTTCTATTTTGCAAGGACCCTGTAAAAGTTGAAGTAAAAAGTTGTCATTTGACCTTTACCTTTCTTAGGATATAAAGTGATGTCTAAACTTTTCATGGTAACATTTTAGACATAGAGATATTTGGAGTGGAGAACAGCACGATATTTGGGCCCAGTGTGTGTACAGATTTCTACGCAGCCTGACTTGTACTGTTGTGGAGTGAAGCAGAACCCTGTTGTGAGTGCGAGGATGTTTTGTGTATTGCAGACGCCCATCCTCCTGACTCCAAGCCCCTTGCTCTCCAGCATCCACTTCTGGAGCACTCTCAGCCCTGTCGCTCCCCTGAGTCCAGCCAGACTGCAAGGTGCTAACACACTTTTCCAGGTAATTCCACCACAGTCTGTCTCGGGTGATCGGGAGGTTCAATGAGGAAGCAGCCAGCATGTCAGGGCCCTCTCTTCAGTTTAATCATTATGCAACTATATGTAATAAATATTCTTTGGATTTTACTTTTAAATTTCTAAATGTTAATTTTCTTGCTGGCAGACAGCTTGGATAAATATATACAGCCAAGTTTCCTTTTCATAGTTGTCCAGTACATATGACTAAGAATTGTTCTGTACTAGCTAGGACCCGGTGAAAAAAAAAAAAAAAAAAAAAAGCAGAAAAACCCCAAAACAAACAAAAAAACGCTATGGTAATGTAGCTAGGCATAGTAATGCACACCTGTAACCCCAGGTTCACAAATTTGAGCCCAGTCTGGGCAATTTAGTGACTTACCCAGACCCTATCTCAAAAAATTAGAAAAAGGGCTAGGGATGTAGCTCAGTGTGAAGGCCCTGGATTCAATTCCCTTTACACCTGGATGGGGCAGGATATTATATTATTATTGTTCATCCCTCCCTTCCTCTTTTTTTTTTTCTAATGGTGGGCTAGGGATTGACTTTAGGGCCTTATGTTTACTAGGAATGTGGTCCATTGAGCTACACTCCTTCTTTATCCACTCTTTGTTTTTTTTTCCCCGTACCCGGGATTGAACTCGGGTCCTTGTGCTTGCAAGGCAGGTGGCGGAACCACTGAGCTAAACCCCCAGCCCTTCTTTTTTGTTTTTTGAAAAAAATTCCATAATTACTGAATGGGACGAATTGACAGTTTTTTATATTTCTCTTTGCCTCTGCCCAACAGGTAATTGAGAGATCACATGATCTGGGGCCTTAGGCAAAGTCATCCTGCTCCTGTAGCTTTAGCTGGGACTGTCTCATGCAGGGTCTGAGAATATTTAGTGGGGAACCCTTTTCTAGGATGAGTTCTGCCTGACCTTTCTGAACCTCTTCTGAGGTCGGGACTTGCTTTATAGTTGAATACCACTCTAGTGCATGTTGCCCTTTACTGGACTTCTGAAGCCTTCACTGGTGTGTACCAGGTGCGACCGAAGGTGAAAGGTTATTCTTTGTTCCCATGCCATTGAGGTAGGTTGCAAAGAGTTAATATTTAACGTGTCGGGGCTGATAACATTTTTTAAAGTTTCTGTTTTGCCATCATACTGTTCCATCACAAATGGTTACTGCGTTTGTCCTTTGAGCCACTGCAGAAAGCTGTCATATTTTGCCTCAGGGAATATAGTAGGACAGAAAGTGAAAGTTGGAACTGAGTAACAGGGTGATAATGTGTTCTTTCTTTCCCAGTTTCCTTCTGTACTGAACAGTCATGGGCCGTTCACCCTGTCTGGCCTGGACGGACCTTCCACTCCTGGCCCGTTTTCCCCAGACCTGCAGAAGATATAATCTATGCACTTGTGGCGTGAGAGGAATACAGAGATGGAGAGAGAGTTGACCTGATGGCATTGGAGTGAGGAGTTGATGCTATGATTTTTGCCATTTCCCGCTGAAACACCTTCTTCAGGACTCTCTTTGAATAGGTTTCGAGTTAGACTGTGTGAAATGCCTTAATTGGAGCCCACCTCCACAGCCTTGTCTTTTTTTATGTTGAGCCAAGTGCTAAAGTAATTTTGGTGGGGTTTATAGCAGCTGTGCTTTGCAAACGTGGTTAAGAGCAAAGGTAATCCTCCTGGCTATCAGAATCCTTTGGCTAGGAGAAAATTGTGCTTAGAGTTTATTATTTTAGAAATGCTATTTAAGGAGCTGGGGATTTAGCTCAGTGGCATTGCACCTGCCTGGCAAATGCAAGGTCCTGAGTTCGATCCCTGGTACCAAAAAAAAAGAAAAAGAAATACTGATTAAATGAAACTGGCTGCTTAGGACTGAGTATGCTCTGCTGAATGAGTAAAAGGGAGCTGTTTATGAGCAGTAGGAGAAAAATAATCCATTCCTATTCATACAAAATAAGACTGGAGCAGTACCATTGTGCACTGTTGTGCTACGAACTGCAGCATGTAGGAGCAGGTCACAGAAGGTGCCAGGGTCTCCTGGCCATGCCTGTGACCTCACCTTCACCTGTGGGGAGCGCATGGAGCCAGTCTGTCAGCAGGAGAACTTCCAGCCTGGATTTGAGGTGTGGCCCTTGGAACATCCGGGAGATGAGCACAGGAGCGCCGCTGTCCAGTGTCATCGGGGATGATTTCCAGCAGGATGGACTTGGGTATTGAGAATTGGAAGCTTCTCTGAGTAAGAGGTTGGATTGAATACCTTGGATCAACATTGGAGGCTTGTCCCAGTTAGAAGATACCCCGGGTGAGGGGCCCTTTCTCATTTCTGTTCATTGTACCCCATTTTCTGCTATATATTTATCTCCTTTCCTTCTAAGTCTAAAGCTATTAGAAGTTGTGACAGTATTAAAATGTCATCAGGAAGGTGGAATGGGGAGTGGAACCTTCAGTCAGTGGTGAGACAGAGATGTACTTGTGTCTTTCAGTTTTTTCTTTTTATTAGGGAGGATCAGTTCATTTGGTAATATTTATACATAGGAATTGGATTATTTTATTTAGCCTTAGAAAATGTAGGCCTTTATCTCTATATTACCAGATATATACATTTTTGTTTATTTTTTTTTTTTTTGAGACAGGGTCTTACTATGTAGTTCAGGCTGGCCTTGAACTTACTGTGTAGCCCAGGATGGCCTTGAACTCGTAGTGATCTTCCTGCCTCAGCCTCCTGAGTGTTGAGATTATAGGCATGCGCCACCACACCTGGCTCAGATTTCTAAAATATTACCATATGGTAATCTGTGCCAGGTACAGACAAATCTTTTGACCTCTCAAACTGAATCGGTAACAGTAACACATTGGAATCCTTTGAAAAATTTGGCTTTTTAAAGTCCAGGCCTAAATTATATGCTGCCATTGCCACTATGTCACCAAAGTAGTTCTTGTTTAAGTTACAAAGAGCTTTATTTGGCCCACAGCTTTGGAAGCTGAAAGTCCAAAATCAGCTCCATTTCGTTAGCCTCTCCAGGGTGTTCTGCCTGCATTTGCCAGTGTGCTGATGTGTCACCAGGCATGTGGGACTCATCTTTTTTTTTTGTACTGGGGATCAAACTCGGGACCTTGTGCTGTGAGCCAGGCAATGGCACCACTGAGCTAAATACCTGGCCTTGGACTCATCTTTTAACCCTATAACTGAGTCAGAAGAGCTAAAGGGAATGAAGGGTTAAGGACTCGAGGGCTTGAAATGACACTGATACAAATCAGCATCTCCTAGATACACAGTGTTCACTTTGAATTTGCGTTCAGTGTGGAGAAGCTCTTGGGTAAGGCCTGTCAGCTAAAGCATTGGTTGGTGCCTTTGGATGGACAGGGTTGGAGACCTGTTACCGGTTCACGTGTGGTTATCAGCTGCAAATTCTATTCCCAAGATGTGCAATAGTAGTGTTGAAGTGTTCAGTAGTGATGGGAGCAGACCTATTGAACGGTTTTTCCCGTTGAATTATTTAGCTTGCCTTTTGAAATTAGACCCCTCAGCAGCACTTTGTAATAGTTTTATTAGGTTAACATTTTGTATAGTAAGTAGATATTGAAGGCTGATTTAACTAGATGTTTTAAATTCTGAAAGCACAAAAATATTTTTATCTCTTTGAATTAAGGGAGGAAAGCCATTGGTTTGTTTTCACAGATGATATATTTGATGGTTTACTATCTCAGTGTAGTACTTTGGAACCAAGGGCACTGCTAAAAGTCAGAGCAACCTCCTGGGATGCGGGTTTGGAGTCCTTTTTCTATAAGCCTGGAGTCAAAGCCTCAGAAGTGTGAGGCCTTAGGTGGATAATCTGCTTTCTCTTTGAGATCAGCTAATTTGGATAAGTGTACAAGAGTGTGTGTGTGTGTGTGTGTGTGTGTGTGTGTGTGTACTTTTTAAGTCAAATTCCACCTTCATTTTTCAAACGTGATTATTAAAAATTTAAAATCACATATTTGGCTTACATTGTATTTTCTTAGACTAAAATGGTTTAGAGAATGAAATAATTAATGTGATATCATGTGTGTGTGTGTGTGTGTGTGTGTGTGTGTGTGTACCTTTTTTAAGTCAAAGTTTACAACCTTAGTGTATGAAGCAGACATTTCTATCTGTAGACTACCTACCTCCTTCCTGGAAAAGCTCCAGCTTCATATTCTTTTGAACATCCGTAGACTTCCTGTTAGCTTCAGAAGGTAACATACCACTTACAGTCTGTGCTTAGCTGAGAGATTCACACCTGGTGTCCACCCCAGTCACTGGCCAGGGTGAGTTGGGCAACAGCTGCCTGAGGTGAAGCAGGGAGCAGGTGTGTGGCATCCTGAGATCTCTTTTGTGAGATCTTAGGCTCTCGCTCAGTGTGCTGGAAACTGCTTAACAGCCTGGAGGACCTTGAGGGGCAGGGAGTCAGCTGCGCACACCACACTCTGTGGCAGTTTCCAGCCCCACCTTGAAGTAGAGAAGGGCTGTGCTCAGAGCTCGGTCCAGTGAGCCACTGCGTGACGCCACGTGGGGTGGCTTCCACATGAGTTATGAAATGTATTTTTCTCCTTCATATGTTGATTTTTAAAAATTAAAATCTCATGTCTGACTTCAGTAGTCTTTTTAAAAACGGTGTACCATACTGCTTTCATGATGTCCTAAAAGGCATATATTTTGTGATTGAACAAAGTTAAGAATTTCCATTGGTCAAAAGAAATACATATATAAAAAAAGATATATAATTTAAAAATCCGGAGGCCCCCCAAAAGATCAACCTTAATTTTCTTAAGAGTTAAAATATAGATTTACCTTTTCCCCACTTTTTGACATTTTATATATAGATACAATTTATTTCCTTCAAAAAAAAATTTTTTTTTTTTGTACCGGGAATCGAACTTGTGCTTGCAAGTCAGGCGGCAGCACCACTGAGCTAAATCCCCGGCCCTTCCTTCAAATTTTGATGGGACTTACTGGATTTTACCTGAAGGATTCTTTGAAGATTTACATATGCAGTTAAAGATTAGAAACCATGGGGCTGGATCCTGTTCCATGAAGCAGGGGTGTGGAGGCTGGAGCCGAAGTGGAGTGGTGATGGCGGTGCTGGCTCTGTACACCCCACACTGCGGGCCTCGTCCAGCAGCAGCGTTGCCGCGTCCTGATGTGACTCGGGTGAGTTCGGAGTTCTCAGAAAGCAGCTTCATGTTTCTGGTGATTTGAGCGCCTTTAAAGGCACCCAGTGGTGTTTCAGAAAAGCATTTCCAGCCTTTTGGAACATGCATCTTGAGCTATAGAAGTCCATGTGTCCTTACGCTGTTCACACGTCGTACAAAACGCACACGGACGCAGGGTAGCCAGGGTGGTAGGGCTGCTGCACCTGGAAGAACACACTCCGTTAGGGTCACGCTCAGAGTTCTCAGTCGAATCTTGGCGAAGACGTGTGATCCTTTTTTTGTGATGTGTGGGGAATCCCAGAAGAGGTTGTCATTTTTTCATAAGTTGCCAAATGTCCCATTACCAGGTGTTTGCCAGATCTTCATGCATGTTATTTTTAAGATCCTGTTGTTGTCTCTGTCATCTGCGTTAGGTGTGACTGTTTTATCTTGCTATTTTGCTTTCAGACTTCTTTGAACCTTGTATTTTGCCAAGTAATTCAGAATATTTCGTGTTGCTTTATGCTAAATTATACAGCTTCCACTTTTTTTGCTGAGAGTTTAAATTTTGGGGGGGGTGACATTCCAGCAGCTGAAGGAATACTTGTTAGTCTGTTTTTTATCCCTTTATTTACTGTACATTTTATTTACCCATGCTGGAAATGCAGACTCGTGCTGAGGTAGTGCTATCCTCAGGTGTGGGAGCATAAACCTGGGATCCGAGTGAGTCACCAAACCAGCAGGGACGCCAGGGACTCTTCTTGATGCAGTTGGGTATCTGGGTACGACGGGGACCCTGTTTCTGAAGAGGAACAAGCAGTGTGACTGGTTGATCCATAGCAGTGAGTGAAGTGAAGCCCCCCGCCACAACTGGCTTTCTTCAGCAGGTAGTCTGACTAGAGAATGAGTTCTGTGGAAAGTATTTTGTTAGTTATTTTCTTGCTCTGGAGTCAACAAATGTTTTGTTTTGTTTTTCAATGCTGGCATTGCCTGAAAGGAGGTGCCCTCTTTGTTACTCCCCTCAGGCCCTCAGAACTCTGCTTCCTGAAGGTGAAATTGTAGTCTGGGAGTCTAGAATCCCTGAGCAGGGTGTTGTATTAAACAGAGAAGGGGTCTGATCCCATCTGTGAAGCCTGTTTGTATCACAGTCATGCTCTGACCTATAAGCACAACAGGGCCGAGGTGAAATTGCTGGTAGTGTAAGTGTCCTCCAAGTGCTGTCTCTGAGGTGGTGGGGTTCTTCAAGCTGCTTTTCTGAAACAAGTGTGACACTTGGATATCCTGTCAGAAAGTAGCCATTTTCAGGGCGCTGGTTCCTATTTAGCCGTTGTGAAAGATGGAAGTCTAAAGTGGTTTGTGTGACAGGAGATGTTGGCTTTAAACTTCCTACAGACATTCAAGGACATTCAAGATATTGTTAATATTTTATTTTGATGGCCGAAGATGGAACCCAGCGCCTCACACATACTAGGCAAGCATTCCACCACTGAACTATGCCTCCATCCCCCGTAATTTAAAATGAAACTTTAGCGCTTGAGATTTAGCTCAGTGGTGCTGCGCCTGCCTGGCAAGCCCAAGGTCCTGAGTTCAGTTCCAGTACTGAAAGAAAAACCTTTAACAAGGAAATTCATGAGGGTTACGAACCTAGTGACTCTTTGAATGGTAATCTTTGAGTGTAATAGGTATCAGGAAATTTTGTTTTTGGTTTTGGTTTTTGATACCGGGGATCGAACTTGGGTCCTTGCCCTTGCGAGGCAGGCGGCGGAACCACTGAGCTAAATCCCTGGCCCTGAGGAAGTTTTTATGGGGTTTAAATATATACTTTGATATATTTCATTAGGAGACTAGCACGTTTCTATTCTAAGTCATTCTGATGTGTTGGCCTAGTTCATATATGTGCTTGTGTGTCGTAAAGTGACACATGGACTGAGAGTGTGTGTGTGCTTATAAGTGTGTTTTTCAGAGGGAACATACTCATCCTCGAGGCTAGGATGGTCTTAGCTAGTTTATACTAAAACTAAAACTTCTGCTGCACTTTGCAGTTGCTACTTTTTAAAGATTAATGCCTTGCACATTTCAGCTTGTAAGTGTATAGAATGATAGGCCTTAAAACTAATCGCTTGCCAACACTTTAGAAGTGCAGCACTTAAATGTGACACACTGAACAGGCATCTTAGACTGTTCTCTTATGTGCATGTGTCATTGAGCATATAAGGGTGGCCTTTCTTAAAATTTCTGTATTTTTATTTGCTTTTATGTAAATCTTTATTAGACTGGGTTAAGTTTCTCAGAGGAGCTTTATACTAGAAGCAGTATTTCTAAAATACAGAAATGTGACCATGGATTATTACAATAGAGGGAGATTTCTGGCTTTGTGACTTAATTAAACTTAATTAAACTCTACATAAGTTGTAGTAGCAGAAGCCTCAAAGATTATCTGGGGCCGAGTGGTCTTCTCATATTTGCCTTGTTTCCCATCTCGAAAAGGCCTGCTCCGTTCCTCACCCTCTCCAGAGAACATGAGCCTTGCTCTGGCCAGCCTGGGGCCGTTCTGGACAGGGTGGGCCGTGGCTGGCCTGGGGTTCTAGCGAGCGTCATTCAGGTCTGCCTGGAGTTCAAGGGTGGGGTGCCAGACACTGTGTTAAATCACTCGGCACTTTTCTTGGGTACCATTATTAGCACTGTTTTGTTTTTAATAACTGGAAGCACTTCATTATTTTGTTTAATTTCAGCTTGATATTAGGGTCAGGGAAGTAAGATTTATTTCTCATTTATGTTGTGGGGAACTTAAGAGTGTTTGGGAAAAGGATAAGTGAGCCATTCTTCTAGGCTCAGTAAGGTATTTGGCTGGGGTGTTTTACAATCATTTATAAGCTTTTAATATTGTGTTTTATAGATACTATTTTAAAAGATTTGCAATTAATAGGTTACACTGAAATTGAAAAGTACCCAATTAATAAGGTCCCCCCACCTTTCCTCTTTAAACGTGGTTGCTTGTTGTTGTAATGTAGGAGATCCACACAGTTCCTTCTGAAACATTTCAGTGTTTGTTGTTTGGGGTGGTATAACCTGTGGCCTTTGTATATACATTCATTGCTTATGTTCACCCTTCATGCAGTACAGTAGCATGCTATGAAATTAACTAAGGTGCCTATATGAAAGGAAGGAGAAGAAGTTAATACACTTAACCTTTATCTCCTGGGGGGTTATTTGTGTGGTTTGGCCCTGAGTCTTTTCCAGTCACAGTCATAGTGGTTTTTCCACTTTGGTCTTCTAGCAGTTTCATTTGTCCCTGAGGGTTGGGAGGGTTAAGTATGACACTTTCAATTTAGATGAGTTTCTTGAAATGATGCCCTTTATTTATCACGTAATCAAATTAGCCTTAGAAGAGTGTGTAACATATACAGATTTTTCTTTTTCTTTTTTTTTTTTTTTGAGCCTGGGTCTCACTGTGATGCCCAAGCTGGCCTCAGACTCCTGGGCTCAAGCCATCCTGCCTCAGCCGCTTCAGTAGCTGGGATTACTGGTGTGCACCATGTCAAGTACATTTTGAAGAATAAACTAGTAATTTTCCTTTTCATACAGCAAGACACTGTCTCAAAAAAGTGGGGATGCGGCTGGGGATTTAGCTCAGTGGTTCTACTGCTTGCCTTGCAAATGTAAGAACCCACGTTCAACGCCCAGTATCAAAAAACAAACAAACAATCAAACAAAAAAACCCAAACAAATGAAAAATTAAGATATTAAATAACAAACTTGATTTTCATTTAGCTGATCTGTAATTCAGAAAAAAGGTATAGGTCTGCCACAGGACTCTTGCATGTGTTTCCACCCCAACACAGGAGAGCAGTATTACTTCCTGTGCATGTTTTAGTTTGGAGTATATGATAAGAATTTGTCCACAGGCTCAGCTCGGTTGAGAAGGCAGTTACTTCCTTGTTTATTTTATTGAAATCTGTATGTCATAATACCAAGTATCACTTTATAAGCATTTAGCTTCAGTGCAAGTACACACCTATCCAAAAAGATGATTGTTTTTTAATCACTTAATTTTAGTTCCCTTTATATTAGGAAGACCTTCAAAATATCAAAATCACCATTTTCTCCCTTTTTCCTGAAAAAGCAAATTAAAATGGTAACTGCTGACAGTTACTGAAATTCACGTTAGTTGTTGGTACAGCTGGACAGAACTGCCATATCTAGCCAAGTTGTCCCCTTTCTCTGTTGGGAACAAGGGATGTTGTCTAAGGTAAGGCTGATGGACATTTACAGCTAGTCCTGAGTTTTTCCTGTGTGTGACAGGGAAACTTTATAGTTTAGGTCAGTGAGGGAAAGGCTATGCTGGCACTTTGAGGGATTTACTATATGCTGCTTTTAAAAGAAAAATGTGGTTGACACTCAGGGCTTCTCCAGACAGTATAAGGGATTGCTCTGAATAACCAATCAGGTGATTATTTTTTCTATCACTTCCCAAGTTTTATACAAAAAAAATTTGTTAAATTGTGTCTTTTAAGAAAAAATGATACATTTTAAAAAACTTTTATGTAAGAATCCACAGAGGAATTTGCTTTGTATAATGTGAGCCAAGCCCGCTTTAAAAAGCACTGTAGCAGATTTACTACGAGTTCAGAATTACACAGATATGTCAGTAGATATACATGCAACTAGGTAGGGACAACAATGTATTTTTTTAAATAAATATTTTTAACAAAATGCTTTTCTGAATGGAGTATTCGTTTCCGTTCTCACATCCATTGAAGTAGTCTCCGGTTGCATTGTCCTCGTGCCAGCCGTGGTCGGGAGGGAGCTCAGCTTTCCCCGCGGTTGACACCTGGCCCTCACCCCTCTGAGTGTGTCTAGGTCGGAGTATTTAAAGCCCCACTCAGGATGCTGGGTGACAGGGGCAGTTGTAAAGTGGTCATTCGCATAAAAGGAACTGAAAGAGAACTGACTGGCTAGGAAAACTAGTCATCATGTAAAAATCTCTTTATTTTAAATATTGACATTTTAAAGGGGTTTTTAAAATATTTAAATAAACGATTTATTGCATCTTTTGAATGGAGCAGCTTTTGCTTCTCTCCTAGCGCTGTTTCTTTGTATGGTTTTTTGAGGTCTGAGATTGGAGACTTCAGTTTATTTATCAGATGGGTCTTTTCAGCTGGGTGTGGTGGCCCACGCCTGTCTTCCCAGCACTCAGAGGGACTCCACGAGTGAGTTCGAGGTCAGCCTGGGCTACACAGTGAGCTCAAGGCTGCCTGAACTTCACAGCGAGACCCCATCTCAAAAAAAAAAGAAAAAAGAAAAACAAACCAAAAAATACACAGCCCTTCTCTAGGGAGAAGTGGGGTTAATAGGTGGTGAAACCTCACCAGGGAGAGTGGGTTTGTATCTTCAGATGGGAACAGCAGAGCGTGACAGTGTGGGATTGGGCTGGGGCTCTCTGAGAGGCCAGTTGGTGGCTCAGTGAGCATGCTCAGGGCATGGTGGGGACCCCTGGGCCCCCAAGGCACCATTCCCAGAGTGCACGCAGGAAGCTTGTCCCCTGAGCTCAGAAGGTTGAAAGATGGGGTCTAGAGAGTGAAAATGTGCTTTAAGAAGCTTCAGGTCTCTTAGTTAAAAAGCTTGTTGAAGCCATTACGTCTTTTCTCACCTTTCCACTGTGGACACTTCCCCTTTTGAGGCGCGCTTCGTTCCTGCTGTTTTCTGTTTTCACAGGTGCATCTGGCTGCGGCACACTGATACCCTAACAGGTCACTTTCCAGGGCTGGCATCGTCAGACGGAGCCGGTCACAGACAGTTGTGAGAGCGCACGTTGTCCTCATGTAGCACCGCACTGCGCCTTGTGACAGCAGTGGGCCACTGAAGTGGGGTGAGGAAGGGAGCAGCGCGAGGCCTGCACGGGCCGAGTGGGTCACTGCGGCCCTGCTGTTACAGCCGTCGCTGAGTGCCAGCCTTGTCCGACTCGTTCCTGTGTGCCAGAGACTCCTGCAGTGAGGCTCTAGTCCCCGCCTGCCCGGTGTGTGATGCGGGATTGAAGGAAAATGAAGACAGAGTTAGAGAGAAGGTGTGAACTGCGACGGCCCTCGCTCCTTCGGCAAAAGGCCCTGGCCCGTCTCTTCCACCGAATTTTACCATTCATCCGCCAGAGTAAAGGTGCGATACGTGTATGGATGTGCAGTACGTGACATTAGCATGGAAACTGACGCCGGCAAGGCTTTAGGAGAAGTCAAAGCAGGGCCAGGATAGGCCAGCGGTGCCACCACCTGCCTCACAAGCGCAACGTCCTGGCTTCCATCTCCGGTTCCAAAAAAAAAAAGGTCGAAGCATTTTCAAATTAGGAACAGAACAGACAAATATATGGTTGTAATTGGAGCATTGTCCCCCAAGCTGTGAAGGCAGTGACTGTGGGCGTGGAATCGGGGTGCGATTCCTCCGACCTCAGACGAGCCCCACAGCTTCACAGGCCGTCAGCGAGGGTCGTGTTAGCCTGCACGTTCTCATGGCGCTCAGGAGCTGTGTCTGCGGTCGCTAAGCTTCAGCCATATTCGCTTATGGCGAGGCCACCGAGGGTTAACTCTGCAGCCTGCACTGCTCACAGCACGTCTGGGGCGTATTCGGTGTTTGGGCTCGGGCACTTGCGCTCTACCAAAGCCCTCTCTGGTCAGGGTCACCGTCTGTGTCACCAGGAACACCGCTGTCTAGCACTGGCACCTCTGATGCTTGTCCACCTAAGATGTTCCTCACACAACTTCGGGAAACCACGTTTCCTCCTGCCTCCAGCTTCTCTCCCTGGCTGTGACAGATCCATCCTTTTTCTGATCTTTAGGTGTTGCAGACCCCAGGGCTTAATGTTTTGATTTCGCCGCATTTACTCCCTGGGTGGTTTTCTCCAGCCCCACGGCTTGTATGTGACCATAACATCTAGATCTTCACCCCTGACTTCTAAGCTCTTATGTCTGCCTTCGTGATGTCTAAGATAGCATCGTAAAATGATTATGTGCAAAGAAAACAGCTCCTCGTAGAAGGTACACAGGTCAAATGCCCTGGGGTCATTCTTGATTTCCATCCTTTTCAACCCAAGGACTCCCACCAGGTCATGCGCCACGCCTGGCCCAAACCACCACCATCTCCAGGACCCGAGCTGGTCTTCCCAGGTCCGGCAGTCTCTTCACGTCACAACCAGAGTGGAAACGCGAGTCCGGACCGCATCACTCACCTCACACCACACACAAGCCCACCCGCACTCCACCAGCCTGGTGTCCGCACGAGCCACTCTGCCTGCTTGCTGTTCTCCAGCTTTCCGGAGCGTGTTCCAGTCTGCGGCCTGCGCCTGCCCCACGCCTGCCCGACAGCCGCCCTCCCGGCTTCCCCGTGGCTTTCCTGAGTGGGGTCTCCATGGCACATTTGAACCCTCCCTGCTTATTCCTGGTACGCGATTCCACTGCTGCTCACCCTGCAGCTTATGAGGTGTTTCTTTACTGTTTCTGTGTTTTCAGTCACCATGTCATCCCTGTGAGGCAGGGACTTCTCACTGCTGAAACGGCACTTAGAGCAGAGCCTGCAGCTTGGCAGATGCCCCAACAGGTGCTTGCGAGTGCACAGAAGCGTTCTCTGCAGCAGACCTGTGTCACTGTCCCCATTCAGTGCGTCCGTCTGCTGCTGGGTGAGATTCCCATGTCCAGCCAGGAGAGGGGATCTGGGAAGAGCGAGCTTGACTTCACAGCACTCCGAAATGTCAGACTTCCGCGGGGAAGGAGACGGGGCAAAGCCCTACTTGCTCTGTGGCTGACTTTGGACTGTGGCGTGAGAACCTGTCTGTCTTTCCCTATTCGGTTACACGAGGAGAGAACAGGAGCTCTCAGCCTTAGGTCGGGAGTTTCCTTCTGAGACTCAGCCAGAGTGCTTGGGCTGTAGCCAGGCGGTAGAAGGCTGGCCTAGCAGGTGTGAGGGCCCGGGGTCTACCCCCAGTTCTGCAAAAACCAAACCGAACGAGAACACCTGTCAGCCAGGTGAACCTTGAGCGAGACCCCTCCAGGGAACACGCAGCCTCACGTTCCAGGGGCTGCTGTCCTTCACAACACGTAATACGCCTCAGATGCTTAAATACTTTATTTTAGGAAAGGTACTCTTTGATTCAGTCTTTTCTGTATTAACAAATTAATTATGATCAGCTTAGATATACCATTGATTCTTTTCTCTAAATCTGTATAAAAGGTGTTTTCTTGAAAAAGCACAAGAAAAATACAACTGGCTTTCTCTTTGGCCAGGCCAGTCACTACCATTAGATTGCACTTTAGATCTGATGAGCATCTAATACTTTTTAAAGTATTTATAGACATAGTTAAAACTATACCCCGAGATCACCAACCAGCTTTCCTAAGAAGGTGGATCTGTTTTACTTACAATAAATATGTACCAGACCTATGAACAATTTCTAAACTGCTTCTGAGGAGGTTTTAAAAATAAAAGTTGCTAAAATTTATTAATTTCTAGGTCAAACAGATAGCAAGTGGTTTATACAAATTCACTTAATTCAGAATTCCCATGAGGTAGGGTACTTGTAGTAATGTTACTTTACTCGTTAAAAAAAAAAAAAAAAAAAAAAAAAAAAAAAAAAAAAAAAAAAAAAAAAAAAAAAAAAAAAAAAAAAAAAAAAAAAAAAAAAAAAAAAAATGAGGTTGGAAGTGTCTCACAGATCTGCCCAGGGCCAGGCAGCTTGAAGGTCAGGCCAGCGCCAACTGGGTTTCTCTCTGCAGCCAGGTTTCCATCCCTGTGGTCTGGCAGTGGTGCTCAGAACTGGCTAACAACACAGATCCAAGAAGAACCTTTGGATATCAGATGCTGTTGATACGAACCACAGCCCAGGGACAGGTACTGAAACCATGTCCTGCTTACGTTCCAAAGCATACTCTTACATTTGTGATGGCTTCTGGCCTCCACGAGTCACAGAACAGTCACTTCCCTGCCTCCTGAAGCCTCAGTCCTCCTCCAGCCCTGTCCAAGCCATTAGTCTGCCCCCTCTGAACTACGACCCTCCGCTGCACAGGAGGCGGAAGTCCCAGGCAGGACACTGCTTTCAGTACACAGTGCAGCTTGAATAGTTTGGTAGCCCCAGCTTTTTGTTAAAAGACCCTGACACGATAAAAAAATTTTTCCTCTACAAAAGATGTAAAAAAAAATTTTTTTTTTTTTTTTGGTAGTGGGGATTGAACTCGGGACCTTGCACTTGCAAGGCAGGCAAGTGGAACCCCTGAGCTATATCCCTGGCCCAAAAGTTGTAAAATTTAAAATAGATAGTTTTGAAAATTCTTGGTACTTTTTATACCTTTTATATGCTGGTTGATGTCAGTAACGGAAATAGAACAGCCATCCCATTCTCCTAGGTGATTTCTGGAACAGTCAGCATTGATGGACATTTAAGAACTGGCCTCCGTGGGGACAAAAGCCATGATCTGTAGCTTTTGCCAGTGTCTGTGGTGTAAATATCCCCACCGTGGTGGGTCTCAATGCTACCTGCTGGGAAGAGAGGCCCAGCAGCACTCCGTGATGTGACAGCTCCACTGCCCAGGTTCCTCAGCCGTAACTCCAGGGGCATCACTGGAGTGAGATTATGAGGTGGTAAGTTTTGAATATTTCATATAATTTAAGTAGTTAATTTAATTTTAATCACGGCTTCGTTTGACAACCAGCTCTCAAAACGAAGGTTTTCCAGTCAGCTTCCCTAAGCTGGCACGAGCTAGCTGGGCACACCGTAGCTGAACTGGTGTCCCTGCGAGCACAATTGGGCCTCTCTCTTTGATGTCCTACAATACAGGTGACTGTTGGCCTCTGCAGTGGGCAAGGAGGGACTCTGGACTCTTAGTAAAGCACATACATTTTTGAACATGCCAGGGCGTAACTTGGGGTTTGTTTTGATTGATTTAAAATATATCTACATAAAGCAATGATCGTTAAGCTTTGCAATTTCAACCTATTTTTTTAAAACTTCAACTAAGAGTGATCTCAAACCCAGGATGTGGTCCATGCACAGCTGCCTTCTGCCCTCCAGGCTTGGTGTCCTGGACAGCTCGTACCAGAGCCAAACCAGGGGAGCCGAAGGCATTTGGAATCAGCGGGCAGGCTTCTAATGATTTGCCAGGGGAAGACCCAGGTACCCAGACGGAATTCAGCATCTTCCACCCAGCCGCATAGGAATGGAGGAGATTCCAGCGCCGGCAGTGAGAGAGGCCTGCCCCGGGCCTCGGCTTCCTGTGGCGCTTTAGTTGCCTTGGGGCCCGGGGCTGGAGTCCTCGCTCGCCTCTCAGCCGTTTTCACCTCTGGTAGCACTCAGAGCTCTCCATCCCGAGCGGTTTGTCTTGGGTAGGAACTGTGAAAGAGAAGTCGTGTGAAGCAGGCAGTGTACCTCGGAAGCCTGCAGCGGCGGTGCACAGACCTGGCGCCGTTTGCTTCCCCACTGTCCCTGGCCGGTTAGAAGTCCCGAGAGGTCAGGACTGCTGTGGCTGGGGGGCAGTTCACAGACTCGTGTCTAGGGTTGAGGACTTTGCATTTGTCTTCGCCTTCCGTGACAAAGGAACACAGATTTGATATTCAGCCAATATTAAGTGGGCCGAACATGTCAGCTCTGAGCTCACTCTTAGGCTGGACAGTGACTGGTACCCACCGTTCAGAAGCAGGGCTGTTTCAGGCTGCCCTGCACTTCTGGCCTTGTACTGAGTGATCAGAGGTGGCCAGAGAGAGGGAGGACTGTGGGAGCCTGTCCCTTCAGCCTGCAATTACTGTGCTGCTTATGGAGGGGAGAGGCTGGGCCCAGGCACTGAGAGCCCAGGGAGGGGCGCGGGGAGGGTGCAGGGTTCTGAACATAGCGGCTCCCCTGTGTGGTCTGCAGGAGGGAGGCTCCTCTTGGGAGGTACATCGGCCCCAAAGAAGCTTTGCTTTGTCATTTGGCCCAAAGAACTTCTTCCTGAAGAAGAGACTTGGTTGGGCCAGAGTCGGAATCCCCAGTAGCAAGGAGGTGACCAATTAGGCCACTGGGCAGAGCTCCGGCAGGGAGGCAGGCTGTGTGTCGGCCCTGGACAAGGCAGCGACCTGCAGGAAGCCAAGTTCACATCCGTGCATCTCTGCTGATGGAGGAAGCACCAGCCAGCCTGTCCCGCTCCCGCTGGCCCTAGGAGCCCAGCAAGGACAATCACAGGGAAGGCAGGAAGAGGGGAAAGGAAACTGGAGAAAAATAAACATTTCTTTGCATTTTACTTGGAAGCTAACGGCACTTCTGCTCACTGACGTCACAGCCTCTCCCCTCCCACCCTGCTCTGTTTTCCTCCTCCTGCATGGAAACAGATTCTTTCCCTACCTGAGGGGGGTCCAGGGTGCATCCTGTGGGAAAACAGGAGCAGGACATAGAAGGTGAAGGCCAGGCAGCCAAAGATCACACCACACACCAGGAAACTGTAGCTGCCCTGGGCCTGGAATATCTGCCAGGGGGAAAAGAGATATCGGTCATCAGAGCTGGTCACAGAAGGGGCCTGGGGAAGCTTCAAGCCGGTGGACAGGAACGGGGCGGAGGGCAGTCTCAGCCTCTTCGAGGTTACAGCCGGTGGAGACAGCTCTGTTTGGGGGCTTTCTGAAAATCTCCACATCACCGTCCAAACGCCAGTCACACAAGATGCTTCCATACCCACGGGCCTGACTTGGGCTTGGCAGAGAGTCTGTATCTTTTTTAGTTACACAAACTGAACACTAGTCAGGGGCCCCGGAACTAACACAGGCCAGCCCATCACCTAAGGGTCAGAGCAGCAGGGCTGCTTCATCTGTGGCGTTCCACTGCTTCCCCGCACTAGATTAGCATCCGAGCCAACCCCGGACCTTGTGCCATCTCAGTACAGAGGCATCCACAGTCGCGGGCTTGCCCATCCACACAGCGGCCAAAAGGAAAGAATCGCCGAGGTACGAGGGGACTTTGGAGACTGAGCACCCGGATTTGATGTCACTGCTGCCGGTTATGAGAAGTTCGATAAACCTAGGGCAGGTCGCTGGACTGATCTGGGTTTCAGTTCTCCTGTTGTAGAGTGGAGAACAGCATCTACATTGGTCACGGAAAAGCAGATGTTAAGCTGTGTGGTGGCGCCCGCCTGCAGTCCCAGCCTTCCGCGAGGCTGAGGCAGGACTGTGAGTTCAAGCCGGGCCGGGCCAGCTTAGCAACATAACAAGGCACAGTCTCAAAATACAAAAAGGCTGGGGATGGAGCTCAGTGGGAATGCCTTGAATGTAAGCTCCAGCGCTGTTCTGTTTGTTTTGTTTTGTCTTATAAAACATGCTTTTATGTTTTTCCTGGTGAACAAAGGGAACACAGGCGTGCTGGGGCAGAGGTGGGAGGGCAGCAGCTGGGAAGGAGGCAGGGTCCTCTTCAGCCCGCCTGGGGCCGGGAGCGTGGTCAGGAGAGGGACGGAAAAGGAACCGGACTGCAGCTCACAGCCCCGGCCCTGAGAGCGAGCAGATCCCATGGGTCCCCTCTGGCCCCACTCCCAGACGCAGCCTGTTTGCTCTGGACTTGTCCACACGTCTGCTCACGTCTCCACGTCCCACATTCGGAGGCCTCGCTTTCCAGTCGGGCTCCGCAGGCCTAGGAAGCCCACAGCCCAGCCTGGGAAGGCTGCGGCTACATCTTCTCGCCTGCTGGGAGCGGAGCGCCCCACCATCCCCACCAGAGGGTCCCACATACCAGGCCGACCAGCATCTGCAGGGCCATCTCGCCAATGCCTGCCCCCGTCACCAGCACCGTGGTCGCACAGCCTAACAAAACAAGAAGGGTTAGGCTGGGGAAAGCCGGTGCGGACCCCAGGCACTGTCCCAGTCCCGGGGAAGCTCTGAAACATGGCACGGCTGAAAGGACCACTGGACCCTTCAGACTTGGGCTTGCTTTGGGAATGCCCGCTCCGCAGCCCTGTCAGCCCTTCCCTCATCTCTGCAATCCATTTCCTCTCCTCTCGGAGCCTACTGAGCTTCTGCAGTGGGGCACCAAGGAAGGGGTGCACCTCTCCAGGGTGACCAGAGGGCCTTCCCGGGAGAACGGGGAGGGTGGAGAGGCCACTGAGAAGGGCCCAGTAAGGCATGGGGCTGGGGCGCTGGCTCTGGGGAGCAGCAGGGAGGGAGGAGGCTGGGAAGAAGGGGTTCGGTAGGGAGACAGGAGGTTGGTTGGCTGCAGGTGCCTGCGTCCCATGCCTGCCGCAGTGTGGGGGCGGCTTGGGAGGGGGCCTCTGCCCTGGCTGCACATGAGATCCGCCCAGCAGCAGAAGCCCAGTCCGCGATCTTGGTACAAGTGTTCAAGCCGACTGCAAGGCTTTTTTGTTGTTGTTTTTTTCTTTTTGTTTTTTTAAGACAGGGTCTCACTATGTAGTTGAGACTGACCTGGAACTCACTATGTAACCCAGGCTGGTCTCGAACTCACAGCGATCCTCCTGCCTCAGCCTCCTGAGTGCTGGGATTACAGGCG